CTAGCCTTCCGAACAGTGAGCATTGAGGTTATGGTTGGTTATCTTTTGCACTTGTTTGGAGGTGGCTTAGCTGCTGCTACTGGTGGTGGTTTATTCCTCTTGGTTCTCATGGTTGTCGTTGCAATGTTCTTATTGAGTTGTATAGCTTGTCTGCTTCTTTTTGCCCTTTTGGACTCTTAGCAATTTTGTATTTGTAGACCCTTGGGGTATGCCCCTTATATCTTTGTACAGTTTTTTTCTCCTTTGAAATAATTTGAATTACCAAAATAAAAAATTAAAAAAAACAACTATCTCGTTGAGGCCACGATAGTTTCCGTAACAGAAGAAAGAGACATAGGCTCCAGAGCAAAATCATCGACCCACAAAAAAATGGATTTTAAAGACTCAGCGTGATACCTTACGATGATGAATAATCAACTTTTCTTTTTCTTAGTTGGTACTAATACACACATGTCTCGACTGAGGCTTGAACCCTGACCTCCTTTTGGAAGTAAGGGCCTGATACCGCTTGGCCACTAGCCCATTAGTATGAATAATCAACTTATCTCTTAAGATAGCACAACATCCTTTAAGCATGACAAATATTTTTTTACTAGTTCCAATATTGACAAAGGAAATCGGATTGAAATAAAACATCATGAATTACAACTTGTATCATATAATTTCTCCATATTTATATTCCGTAAGTAAGTACTATAAGGCCCTACATAGAGGGCAATGCTATAACAGGAATAGAGCATACAACTCTACTTCCCATGTCATTCATTTTATTCTTTCCACCTTGACTTAAACTATTAGAATCTAGCTCAGTCACTGGTTTTACCCATATCATCCGCTCACATATAACTTAATATCAGTTCAAGCACACAGGACTCAGACTATAAGGTTTAACTCTATGTTATGGGAAGAAACTCAACCTCACAAATTCTATCGCAAAAATAGGCAATGGTGCAGATTAAGCAATGTCAACAAGGATTTGCTTAAAATTACAATATTCAAGAACTCTTCCAAACTGAGCCATTTCCTTTGATGACCTAAACAAGATGTACAAAATATAGAGTAATTTGATGTTCCTATAGACCTGGAGGTTGGTGAAAGGTCTGCTTGCTCAATTTTTGTGACTGATTAAATTATCAAATTGGTGAACAATTCAAATCCACACACGTCACAAATAAACAGTAAATAAAGCAACTAAAGGAAACAACACACCAGATCTTTTACATAGAAAAACCTCAACGAGGAAAAAAGCCACAAGAGCATAGTCCAGAGCAAAGCAATCTCCTATCTCAAAACAGATTTACATCGACTCTGACCCAGACTGATTCCCAGACCACTTTGTCAAGACCTAGTTGTTGAAAGTCTCAGGCTTGCTACTGTGAACCTGAGTCCAGTTGCTTCCTTCGTAGTGATCCTTTACTCTTCAGAAGCACACAGATGTAGAAAAGAGTTTGAAAACAAAATCCGTTTGATGAAGATCAATATCAATGAAGCTCTGTACTCTCAACACGATCACAACTATCCATGGACATCTATATGGAGTTTCTACTTGTGAAAGAAGAAAGCTCTCAATGAACAACTAGGGTTTCCAACCTCTGGGTTTTCTCAAAAAGATTTAGCAATTCACTCCATGTCAAAAATATCCCAGAAAACTTGTATTTATAGGCTAAAAGTTTTATACCAATTAAATTTTAAAAAGGAGATGAAATTCTATCAAAAACAACTTTTGGCAAAGCCTAAAACAGGTGCCAAAAAGGCCCCAACCAGTTGTAGTGCATTCTGGAGTAAATCCCATAACTCCAGAAAGCCCTTCCAGTGAGGCTGGAAAAAGCTCCACTGGTGCAATACCATTTTATCCGCTGAATTTCAGGACAGAATTAAGTTCCATAGGTGCTGGAAAAAGCTCCGCCGGTTGTACTTGGTTCTAAAAAATTTCTAGTGACTCTGCAGAAAACTCAACTTTTCAGACTTTGTTGAGTGATCAAACAAACTCTAAATTAAGAAAATAATATATCGTTGGAAAGCTTATCGAGTCTATTTTCTAACCATATAAAAATTATTGCTAAACTCCAATTATGGAATGAGATATAGTAAAAAGAAGACAGATATGTCTGAAATTGATTGAATATAACACCCTATATTGATACTGTTTCAAGGTCCACTCAAATCATTTTTCATTTGAAGACATTTAGATACCATTTTCAAAATTCAATGAAGTTAATATCCTAAGGTATCTAAGATCTTCCTTACGTTCGCCTATTGTGATCGAGTATCACGGAGTCATGGACCACATTGTTGAGATATTCCGATGTAGCTTTCATTTCCATGTATGAATTTTAATGACCAATCTAATGGCAAAGTGTCTGGCATACACACACTACATTTTGTTCATGCCCTAGCACTAAAACACAACTTTGGAACGGAATTTGCCAACTTACAAATTTTATTCTCGCAATATGAATGTAATACACAATATATGTTTTGGTGCAATTTCTTATATAGAAAAAGTTAAGACTATCCAATAAACCACAAGTATTTCCATCCTTTAGGTGCATAAAATGGCCTAGGCGTTTAAGCAACACAACCTGAACTAGTAATATCAAAAATAATTTTTTTTTTTTAAAAATTACATTTCTTTAAAATAGATGTCAAAGGATATATTTTTAATACAAGAGGAGATTTAAGATAAGATTATCTAATAAAGCAAAGTATTTCATAATCAATCAAGTGCATAGATTTTCCAAGGAAGTTAAATGACATTTTCTTCAGCATCTTGACTAGTATAAGAACTTATAATAAAAAAAGCTAACTAAATAAAAGAACCACTTAATTATTATTATTATTATTATTTTGATAAGTAAAGTTCGATTAGAAAGCGTTCAAGAGGGGAACGCATCCCAAGAGCTGTAGAAGAACTAAGAACAAAAAAAGAAAAGAGAAAACCTATGGACCCAAAGACCCCAAAAAGTCCATGATCTCCTCAACAGAAGAACAATCTCTCCCCATACCCCAACTTAAAAGAGAACAAATAATAAAGCACTTTAAAGCCCCGATGGGTAACTCCTCCCCAACAAAGGATCTTCTGTTTCGTTCTTTCCAGAGACACCACCAAATGCATAGGGGAGTCGCCCTCCAGAAGTCGCGTACACTAGCCCCCACCCTTTGCCCCCTCCAAATATCAAAAAGACCCCGTGAGGTCCGAGGCATAACCCACTGGACGCCAAAAAGACCCAACATAAGGCTCCAACAGTCATGTGCCACTGGGTAGTGCAAGAGAAGGTCGTCCACAGACTCTCCATCGGTCATACACAGACAGCACCAATTAACAATGACATGTCTTCTCTTCCTCAAGTTGTCCAGAGTCAGGATCTTACCCCAAGCAGCAGTCCAAGCAAAGAACCTAAGAGGATCCTTCGAATGCCAAACCATTTTCCATGGGTAGGAGGAGGCCTAAAAACCGAAAAGGCAGAAAAAGAAGGACCAAACCTGAAAAGTCCCCTGCGAAGAAGGCACCCAAGTCAAGAGGTCTGCCCCAGTGCCATCCACCTCCTATTGATACAAAAGATCCAACAAGCCAGTGACATCATCCAGCTCCCAATCCTGAAAGGCTCGCCGGAACTATACATCCCAAGACAACCTACCGCTATCAAGGCGATAGCAGTCGGCAACCAAAGCATGATTATCCACAGCAATCCTGAACAACCTTGGAAACCGTTGACACAATGGACGTTCCTCGAACCAAGGATCCTCCCAAAACCGAACATTCCGACCTTCTCGAACTCTGAATCTAATATGCTTAGAAAACTCATCGCATCCCTTCCCAATGGAATGCCACACGCCCACGCCGTTAGCAAATCTAGCCGGTCTTGCAGACTCTCTCCTCCCCAAACCGACAAGCAACGATTTTCCTCCATAGTCTATGTTTTTCATTGCCGAACCTCCAAAGCCATTTTCCAAGAAGGGCCCTGTTGAAAGGGGCCAATCTCCGAATCCCAAGGCCTCCCGACTTAAAAGGCCTGCAAACCTGCTCCCACCAAACAAGATGATACTTAAACTCCTCCCCCCTACTGCCCCAAAGAAAGTTACGTTGAATCATCTCAAGTCTCCTGACAAAAGAAGAGGGAATCTGGAACAGGTTTGTGTTGTATTTTGGTCAACTACTGAGCTATGAGACTTGGAACCTTAGCTTTTGAAGAAGAGAGTAAGGCACGGGTAATGGAATGGATCTCGAAAGGACAAAACACTCTTCACCAAAGTAACTTTTCCTCCCTTCGAAAGATATTGTTTTTTCCACCCAGCCAACCTTCTCTCAAAGCGCTCAATAACCGGGTCCCAACTTCCCACCCTCCTTGAGGAGACGCCCAAAGGCAAGCCCAAATAAGAAATAGGGAAAGAACTCGTCCTACATCCAAGAACAGTTGCAAGAGAAGCCACCTCCTGAACCTCCCCCACAGGGACAAGCACACTCTTGCCCACGTTAATTCTCAAACCAGAAACAGCCTTAAAGCAAACCAGAACACATCTCAAATATCTCAATTGGGACACCTCTGCCTCACAAAAAACCAAAGTGTAATCCGCAAAAGCAAGTGAGAAATCTCCAATTGATGGACTGCCTCCAGACCAATCTTGAAGCCCCGTATAAGCCCCAAGGTCACATCCAAAATACGACTTAAAACATCCAAAATATGACAGTTGCTATGCACTCCCAAAAAGACTTGAAACATCCAAAATATGACAGTTGCTCTACATTCCCCTTAATCCCAATTCTGTAAACTGAATAAATATGTCTAAGAGTAGTATACAGAGAGTGTACTACATCTCAAATTACAAACACTACTTCACATTTTGCAAAGCAAATATAATTTGTTTCTTTTAAAAAGAAAGAACCTTCACATAAATTCCTGGTTATAATCTACTTTCACAAAAGAGCTAATCAAATTGAATTTGAGATTTGCTGATATATATGGTAAAAAATCATTTATAAGAGTAAGAAGCCTACATACCCTTCAACAACTGCAGTTTTTCCTACACCAGCCTCACCAATAAGAACAGGGTTATTTTTCATTCTCTTGCATAATATCTGCTCACAACGTCGAATCTGACTAAGCCGACAAATAACAGGATCGAGCTCACCATTTTTGGCGAGTTCAGTCAAGTCAGTACCAAATTTTTTGAGTGGCTCGCGATCATCACCTACACAAGAGACGAAATTGAACAGATTTTAATCCAATATATATATATATTCAGCTACTTCAATCCTATTAGCAATGCCAAGTCCAAAGAAGTCCATGCTTACAATATAAATCCATAAGAGAACGAATTTGACCGAGAGAGAGGGATGAAATTGAGGAGGTCTTGGCAGGTTTAATGGCAGAATGAGCAAAATTGACAAGCCTAAAAGCCATGGAGGAAATGAGTTACTTTTGTATTTAGGGTTTTTGTATTCAAAAAGGATATACAGAGAGAAAACTTGGAGAAGAAGTAAAAAACTCATCAGCTGATTGTGCTTTCTGGAATTGGGCCTTTATTGATCTACTGATTTTGGCGGTTGAAGAAGAGAAGAAGTCGTTCGGTGGCCTACTCGACCCAGAAACTGATCAAGTCGGGACTTTTCTTTCTCAACATTCCACTATATTACTAACCCAAAAAATAAAAAATAAAAACTCTCCATTATATTATATATGGTTATTATTATTATTATTTTTTCCATATATATGTAGTATAAAATTTGTATATTATACCCCTAAAATTATTTTAGTTTCAAAAATTATCTCAACTCTTTAATTTTTTCCTCTCTCCCCTAAAATTCCTTTAAGAAGTAAAATTTCTCTACTTCAATCAAGTTCTAATTTTTTTCCCCACATAAAAAACCATTGATTTTTGCTGTGGTTCCAATAAATACTCTTTGTTTGTAAATGATAAGAAAGAATTCTGGCTCATATTTTAGTGTTAATCTCAATAGCTACCACATCATACAAAAATGAGATAGAATACGCAATACACCCTCATACACAAAGTCACAAATATGTGCATAGAAATACATAAGTCGTCGTCAAGTTATATTAGTCTATTTTTATTTGGATTTCTTCGTATTCTTCAAATATGGGATCTAAAGTGTTTGATTTTATTCCAAATATTAAAATTTTAACTTACTTATCAAAGAGAACTAGGATCATCTCCTATTTCATTTTTTGTTATGTGCATGTCTTATGCTTAATGCAATAACTTTACATTGTAAATATAACAACTTTAAATCGACAACGTATCAACTACAAATGAAGCGAGTTATTCTCAATTTGGTATCACTCGTCAAGCAAATGAGCCGAGCTTGATAGTTAGACTTGTGAAGAAGCTCATTTATTTACACTATGTTTTAAAATTTTAAATTTTAGCTCATACGTACAACATTAGCCCAAGTTCAAATATGTTCCCCAGGTTCAATCAATTACTTAATCTTCACAAACACATTAACTGAATAACCCATTAAGTATTAACTAAATTTTCTTCAATTTCAAATCCAAGACTACATCGCTTTGGTGTTCCCAAACATAATTGAATAGCTTCGTTTGGGTTTAAAGGAAGAAGCTGAAGGTCTTAGCTCTCTTCCAGCTTGAATTGAGAATCTTTCACATTTTCAAGCGAAGCCCAAACACCTCCAAGCGTGGGATAAGTTGATTATTTAAAATCAATCCATAATGAATAATAACCAACTAAAAACATGAGTTGTTGACCTGAATATGCCTCTTAAATAGATGGAGTCTTACAAAGGTTTTTTTTTTTTCCTTCATATTATTGTTGTTTATTGGTAATCCACAAGAAAAATATTCATTCATTGAAAAAAAAAATCTGCATGAGATAGCATTTAAAAACACTTAAAGCTGCCAATCACGTTCAGAGTTCCCCTTGTTTTGCCTCCATTCCAATCTCCAATTTCCTGATAAGCAATATGCTGTTGGGAGGAAGGTCATTTGCTAATGGGAACATGTTAGCATCAACAAGAATCGAGTCTTTTTCCTTAAAATCACCTCTGACGACTCTCGTTGCAATTTCATTCTCAACCATCTCTTGTATCACCCTTTTCACTGACATGGCTCGAGTGTTCGGATCAAAGAGTGTTACCATAAGATCAACAGCTTCCTTGGTGTAGCGGAGATCAATTTTCCTTTCATTGAGTCTACCTTTCAAGCAGTTCATCTGCAACGCATAATTAGCATGGATGTTAGTGATCCTAGTTACTTATAATAATTAGAATATATTAAAAAACAATATGAAATAAATAAATAAATATATATATATATATATATATATATATATATTCATAAATTAAGGGATTAATAAGTTCATGAGGATACATTGACCTTTAGAAACCCCATTCATATTGGGATAAATGTGAAACACGTGAGAAGGAAATAAGGGAAAACAATTTGAGGAGATCAGAAGTTCGAACTTCCTCATGTTATTCAAGTCAGTAGCACCCATACCACAACCATTTCAATGGGAACAACTTGAAACACGTCCTAACTTAAGTATGTGAAATTTTTATGCGGCACAAGAAATTTCTTAATTAAACACTGACAAAGTAAGCACCTAACAAAAATGATAATTTAAGCATCGAGTTACTTTTGATTAAGAAATATTTTGACAATGTAGAAGTGAGCTAATCTGAATTCTTATTCATAATACATTGTCCAGTAAGACACATACACAAGCTTATTTACCGAAAAAAAAAAAGACACATACACAAGCAGAACTAGTTAAATGCTACTTAATCCAACCTAATGTAAGAAAAGAAGAAAAAAATTTAGACCTAAACCCACCCTTCCAACCAAAATAAATAAATAAAATAAAATAAAGGGCTTCACTCTATCACCAGGTAAAAAAATGCCACAAAGCATTCTCATTAGAGGACAATATAATACAATAAAGCAAAATGTCTGTTGGAATTGAGTGAAAATGATGAATACTGAAGAAGAGAAGTCACCTGTGGTTCAACAATTCTACCAATTTCCTGTGTGTTCAGCAGCTGGAAAACGATAAACTCATCAACACGATCAATGAATTCAGGACTAAAAGTTTCTCTGGCCAATTCCATAGTTTGCCTTTTTTTTTTTTCCTAGTTGGGACTCACGCACACCGTTTTCACTGAGGTTCAAACTCCTAACCTCCTTTTAAGAAGTAGGAGCCTTGTACCGCTAGGCTATTGGTTCCACAGTCTGCCTTTTCATTGTATCATAAATGATTTCCTTGCTATCCTTGTTATTTGTAAGAATTCTTAATATATCCTGGGACCCGATATTCGATGCCATTATCACCACACAGTTTTTAAAACTAACGGTCCTCACACTTGAATCAGTTACCCTCCCATCACCCAAAAGCTGTAACAAGATATCAAGCACATCACTCTATGTGCCTTCTCAATCTCATCGATTAGAATAACAGAATAAGGTCACTGAAGAACAGGTTCAGTAAGCTGTCCCTCTTCAGGACCAACAAGTCCAGGAGATGCACCAATCAACATCCTGACCAATAACCCATTGGTGGAGGACATTTTCAATCATGACTAGCTTCTCCATGTCTGATTCTGATATTTTTGTTGGCAGCAGTTTCGTCAACAAGATCAATGGCTGAAATAAACAGAAAAATATTTAGCAAATTGAGGTAAGTCTGCAAATTATTATATAAAAGGGCGCATTCAATGACCGTCCATGAATAATTCTACTGCAACTTAACATACTATTATTATGCAATTATGTGCTGCAACTTAACATACTATTATTATGCAATTATGTGCTGCAACTTAACATAATGAAGTTGCAGCACATAATTGCATAATAATAGACACCTAAGATATACAGTATGCTAGAACTAATGAAACAGTATGAAGTAGGAACAGAAATAGAGAATGAGATGTAGGAATAAAAGTGATTTTACAAGCACAAATAAATATTAATTGATTCTAGTCCTCGTGAAAAATAAGAAATAAAAGATCCTTTCAAACTTAAATAATCAAATTGTCACTTACCTTTATCAGGCAAAAACCGCTCCATAATATACCGGTCTGCAAGTACTGCAGCCGAAACTAGGGCCTTGTCTGATATTTTTTTTTTTCCTAGTTGATACTTACACATACGTCTCTTCTGAAACTTGAACTCCTCACCTCCCTTTGAGAAGTAAGACGCTAATACCATTAGGGCACTGGCCTGATGGTCCTTGTCTGATAATTTAATGCGATGATGCACCTCATAGTGTTTGCGCAATCCGCGAAGAATGGAGATTGTGTCTTCTACAGATCGATGGTTGATTGCAAAAAACTTGCTAGAATCTACGCTCAAGAACATTGTCCTTTTCGATGTACTTTCGGTACTCTTTCAAAGTGGTTGCTCCTATACATTGAATCTTACCTCGGCCAAGTTCCGGTTTCAAAATGGTTGCAACATTAATCTTATCTGTTGTACTAGACCCTATAAAGTAATTAGCACTATAATTACCACCAATTCAGCAAAAAAATTGAATTAGAATAGCAAAAGCATAAAATAAGAGGGATGTCAAGTTGAGCACTTCCACACATGCATGATTTAAACGTATATCATAAAAGCATATGGTCATTACTTGGTGCAATGGTGAAGGTTTAGAATAACGAGAGTAAGACTATTAAAAAAAAAAAAAGGGCCATTTGTGCAAAAACAGCAAAATAATACCAAAAGTTAGGTCTGCCTCCTAATAATGGGTAGTGGCCTTTCATCAATCAAAAAAATCTCCAAGAAATTATCCCAAGTGTCAAAACCCAATGCGATCAATTTCTGCCCACTCAAGGAACTTCAATAAAGAATATATTAATATAAGATGATTCAATCAGTTTTGCTAAACAATATGAGCTGCTGACAAAAAAAATGTATAAGCGACTTCAATTTTTTGGGTCCAAGTCACTCTATTTCTTCTTGTTCAATATTTTTAGACTGCACTGAGGGGCCAGACCTCCAACAATCAACTTTGAGTGCAACCGCCTCCTTAATCAGTTTGACGATGATTTACCCATTCTAAAAGTAACATTCTTGGTATTATAGAAATGAACTTTAATTTTTTATCACCAAAAACCCTAATGGAAGTCCTAGATGCTAAGTTTAAACAAAAGAAAAATGGTCTTTACTAATGTAGCCTTCCTTATGAAGACCTACTGGCTACCATGAATATGGAAATGAATAAAAAATAATTTATAATAGTTTTAAAACATTAGCATCTACTGATGTGTACCAATAATAAATTGACACATCATCTTTAATTATCATATTCTACAATTCTCATGCACAATCATACTAATGTTCATTGGACCATTATTAAGCAAATTTTAAGTTATTTAAAGTCTATTTATTCCTTCGTTGTCGCTCCTCAATCTAACCTAGGTTAGTGCGACCTTTTTAACTGCAAATTCCAAATAAGTAGCCCGAAAAGGATCTTGATGTTCGATTTATTCCTTCCCAAGATCAAATTACTGATATTATGACTAAGAATTTGAGGGGCATGTTAGAGATAATAACTCATGAGAGATCTCTTATAGGAATGTTTCAGTAATTTGATTTGCTAGACTGGGACTCATTAGCATGATTGTTGGCACTAAAGCCATAATTTATTCGTCTGCTCAAGTTGAAGAAATT